TCCTTCAAAAAAACCTGTCATTTCCTCTTTTGTGTCCTGTGACACAGCCCCACCTCACCCGCCTCTTCCCTGTCCCTAGGGTGCAGAGCAGTATTCTCCTAGCTTTCTCAGACTTTCCAGAACCTCTGCCATGGTGGGGAGGTGGCTGTGGTCAGGCTGAGGCACAGTGCTGGGAACTGGATGACAGCCCCAACTCCTGGTGCTTCTAAGGCCACCAAGTGTGTAGCATGCAGGATGGATTCCAGCAGTCAGGACAGCTAGGGCTGGAGCTTCAAGGAATGCGGAAACCCTGGCATGTCCCACAGAAGGCTGTTCAGACAGAGAACAACTGGGGAGCAGATGGGGAGGGGGTGAGCCCTTCCTGCTGAGGGAGGCCAGTGATAAGCAGTCTGGACCCCATGGCTATGGCTCCTTGGAGCTGGAGGGATGTGAGGGGTAGGGGCTTGGGACCCATAGATCTGTCCTCCATTTTTCCTACATGAGGGAACTCAAGACTCACTGGTTGGTACTCATATCTGAGAGCTAGCCCATGCTCCCTTCTTAGCCCTGCATACATGCAACCCTTCCCATTCCCAAGTGTCTATGGAGCCAAGCTGGGATAACCTTCAGGTGAGCAGCAGCCCTGAGACTGTCCTTTGGTTGCCCCGTGGGCCTCATTTGTTTGTGGCTTGGGTTTTCTTTCTTTGTCTAAGTTTTCCTCTGAAGTTGATTTTCTCAGCTTATCAGGCACAGTCCTCCTGCCTCACCTGACAGACAAGAAGCCACCCTGAGTAGTGGGTTCCACGACAGAACAGGCATCGCCAGGTATCACTTCATCTCACCCTTGACAAGACCAAGTGCACTCAGGGGTAGCCAGTACCACCCACACTGTGGACAGCTCCCAGGGCAGGGCTAGAGGGTCAGGTGTCAGGGAGCCCCAGCTCACAAGTGTGAGAGACGGGGTGCCTGAGACTCTGTGACTCCCTAAATCTCTCCTACTTCTGCCTTTTGACCATGGAAAGGTGTCTCTCACCTCAGCTGACCTTAGGTTCTCGTCCTCAGCTTTCAGGCCAGCAAGGGAAGGAGCTGTGGGGTACAGCCATCATGCACTCTGCCCATGAAGAGTAGAGCCTGTGGGTATCCTTATGTGTCAGGCCTGGAGCAGTGAGGGGCACCAGTCAGGCCACCATCACCCCAAGATAACATACTGGTGACAGCCCATGTGCTGAGCTCTTTCCCATGGATGCACTCTGGAAAGGCTTGGGAGACAAACAAGAAGTGACAGGCAGTGTGGGGTGCAGGTTCCTTCTGTCCCAGCCAACACTGAGACCTCAGACTGTTTAGGAAGGCAGTGGGGACCACCTAGGGCCCAGAGAGGGGCTTTGGGTGTCTGACTTTTGGCCATGTCAGGAAAGCCCATGGTGACGTCAGGCCTGGTCTGACCCTAGCTGCCAGTCTTTTGAAGCTGGCTTGGCCCAGAGTCTGGGGCATCATGAGAGGCCTGGAGCACTCTGTTGCCGCTATGGCTCCCAAAGCTCAGTTCCCACGTGAGCCTCAGCCTACCACAAAGGGTTGCCTCAGTATGTGCCCCTGGGGACCCGATCTGGTCATGGGGGCGCCACCAGGAGATCTCAGTGATCAAAGGTACCACCGCCTCTCACCAAGGTTGCTCTGGGGAAACACCACGCCCTGGCAACACATGGTGCTGGGCTTCCTGGTAGGCCAGAGGAAGTTCCTTCATGCCTGGTGTCACAAAAGGAGGCAGTGGCTTCCACAACCAGCAAATTCCAAATATTTATGAGAGCCTGTGATGTGTGATAAGGGCCTGTGATGCCTCCCTGGGCGCAGCAGTGATTCCTATTGACACCCTGCTCACCCCACATCCGAGTATTACTGTTTGAAGCAGTGGAGACCTGTGTCTGGCCCCGAGACATGCCACTAGCTTCAGGGACCAGGATACTCCATGGGGCAGTGGGTGGTCACCTTCTTGCATGTCCTCTCCAAAACCTGCCTCTGCCTCCCACCCAGCCCCATTTTATTTTTTTATATTTATATTTATATTATTTTATATTTATTTTATTTTATGTACATTGTTGTTTTGCCTGCTTGTACGCCTGGAGAGTCCCACGTGCTGCTCAGTGGGCCTGCTCTGTCCTTGGTTGCTCCCTACCAGGAACCAGACATCAGGCATGGAGTAGGTCAAGATTGGGCGTGTGGGGCTCGGTGGTTCTGCTCTGCAGGGAGGTCTGAGGTGGAAGCTGAGAAAGAAGGGTGGCTGTGACTCTCCAGGCTCAGGCTACCGGCAGCCCTAAGGTCTCCAATTGAGGACACAGAGTCTGCCTGTGGCAAGGACAGAAGGCTAGGCTGCATTCTCTCCCTGTGAACTGATGACCACTAGGAGTCTGGCACGGCACCCACACACCTCTCTACCCTCTATGTCCTGTCCACATAGATGCTGCTGCTCCTTCTCTCCCCCAATCCCTGTGCTTTCTGGGCCAACACGGGTTCCCAGTGTCCTGCGGATGCTGTGCCTATCATGATGCTTCTGCTGGTAAAGTGAGGCAGGTGAGCCTCTAAGAACACTGTTGTGTCCTTCAGAGTGTCCCAGTGCCCTCCTGCATCAGCCTGCCTCAGACTCTCCAGGCAGCTCTTAGTTGTGGGCCAGGTTCCTCCCTCCCCCCCACCCCCAGAACAGGCTGAGCCCTGGTTGAGAGCTGTGCTAAGGAGCAACAGAAGGATCTGTTAGCTGCTATACATGAGGCATGGGTGCTTAGGTCCACCAGACAACATGGCCATCCATAGACATTTCTCATGCTCTGTGGTATTGCACAGCAGGCCTCAGTTTGACCCTCCGGTGACTGACTGGATACAGCATGGAGCTGCCCTGTGCCCACCCTCCCCTTTCATGTCACTATCTTCGTTGCTCAGACTGAACGTCCTGTGGCCACTAAGCCACCTTTCCTAAAGAAACATGACTGTCCAGGGGTGGTGGCCAGACCAGGCAGGGTGTCAGCTCACATGTTCCTCCCAGAACCTTCACTGTGCCTAGCTTCTCCTGTCACATATCCCGTCACTGTACTTAGTTTGGCAATGCTGGTGCAGAACTGGGGGTCTCATGCATGGGGCAAGGTCTCTACCCAGTGGCACTCTGGTCACTGTGATCCTGTTGGGAGGCCTACCTCCCTGCTGTGCTTGCCCCCACTCCAGATGCCTGGTTTACAGGTGACATTGTCAGCAGAGCTTGTGCCAGCAGGTGTAGCTCCTGTGCTCCTGGACAAATCTGTGGAAACAAGCTGGCCGGGGATTTGGGAGCAATCTTGGTGCATTTTGCCTTGGGCCCAGATCCCTGGTTGTGTTGTACTTAGCCAAGATACCCAGTCTGTCCCCCTGAGGTGACTGCAGTAAGGCAGCTCTTAGCAGGGGTGATGTCCCTGCTCCCCCCACAGGCTGACAGCTCTCTGCTGAGAACCTGAGTGTTTGCATGCCAGCCACCATGCAGCTGCTGCTGTGCTGTGGGCAGCTGTGGTGGGTCCCACACACTTGTACACTGCACCCTGTTTCTGTCTCTGGAGTGCAGGTGGTGGGAGGCAACATGCCCATGAGCTACAGAGGGCGCTGATGGTCCTCCTGCAAAGAGACCCAGAGTATGAGGGTACAGCCTGCTCATGACATGTGTGGTGGCCAGTGATGTGGGGCCCCCAGATCATAGGTCACAGGAGATGGGAGCATTAATAGAGCAGCCCAGTATGCTCCAGGCTCTCCTCTTCCTGCCTGACTGCTCTCCCTGAGACTCTGGTCCCCTGGCCCAGATGCTATCCCCTGGAAGCTATGGCTCTGCCTCACTTCTCTGCATTTACCAGAAGAGCAGGGCCTCATGGTGGGTGACATCCTGCTTTTGCTCGCCCAGAGAAGCGAAACAGGGCCGTGAAAGTCAGTGGGGCTCCCTGTGAATACCCAAAGGAGGTAGCCAGTTGGGCCTGCCCTGGGGAGGACATAGCTACAGGGACACCCCCCACACACACTGTCTTCCTGTCTCTCCCTACCCTGAGTCTTATCCACTCCTCTGAGATGCTCTGGGGAGCCCAGAGAGCAGCTCTGTTCAGTGGGCAGACCAGAGAGCATGGAGGCCTTCAGAACGCTGTGGGCAACTAGTCACAGACACAGGGCAGGGAGGCCACTTCCGGTGGTGCCTCTCTGCAGCCTCCCTACTTCCTGATGTCTTTGGTCACTTCCTCCCAGGCCACCCTACAAAGTCCTTACTGCCTCTGCCTATGGTATGGGACACCACATGGCACTTGCAAATCCCTTGCCCACATCAAGCAACAGCTCAGAGTCGGGAGCACCATGGCTATGGCCCGTGAAAGCCTCACTGGCACCCTTCTCTCAGGAGGCTAGCCTGCTGTTCTGCATATGGGGTGTGTATGCACCTCATGTGGGGGTGATCTGGACAATGACTGCCCTGCTGGTGCATCCCAGGGCCTTGGGTGTGATAAGTGAAGATGGCTGTGGTGGGCAGACTTGGGGAGAAATGGGGCCTTGTGCTCCAGAGAAGTGACACACACTGTGTCACATTCAGATAGTGACACAGGCACTTGGGGCTCCCTACCATGTACCTGAGGCCAGCCCAGGGCAGTTGGCTCTGTCCACCCTGCCCCAGGCTCTCAAGTTCTGGCTTCCTTGAAGGGCCATCCTTATCAGGTGTCAGTGTCACAGTGCAAGCACTAAGGATTCAGGTACACAGGAGTCTCCTGAAACCTGCAGTACCCTCATGTGCAGGACACGGAGTACAAGCTGGCATGGGGCCTGCTTTGCCTCTACCAAAGTGACAGGGTCGACCCAAGAGCTGTAAAAGGTGGACAGTCCCCACGGGGTGCTGGGCTGAATCCCAGCACACCTCAGCCCTTCTCCCGGTCTCACCCAGACTCCCCGTCTGCCTGCCTGTCCCAGAGGCTGCATCCTTGGCAGGCACAGCGGGTGTCCCTCCTGTGCCCTCACATGCCTCCCTCCTTCTACCCCAACAGCTGGTCAGCGAGAAGGTTGGCGGGGCCGAGGGGACCAAGCTAGATGATGACTTCAAAGAGATGGAAAAGGTAGGAGTCCCAGGCACGGTCTGCAGAGCTTCTGGAAGACAAATGGGCCTAGACCGTTCTGCCTCGGTGTCTGATGCTCCAACACTGGCTCTCTTCGCAGAAGGTGGATGTCACCAGCAAGGCCGTGGCAGAAGTGCTGGTCAGAACCATTGAGTACCTGCAGCCCAACCCAGGTAGGTCACCCTGAAGTGGTGACCATGGACCTCCCAGCTTCTGCTTGCCTCCACACACCAGGGTCCCTTCTGCTGACTTGCTGGGCTGATGTACAGTGGGGTCAGGTCTTCCCAGGCAAGGGTGAGGCAGGGGCCATGGAGTAGTACCGTGACTGTGTCCTCTACTATCTCCATGGTACTTCTTCCTGAGGAGGCCTAAGGGAGGGGGCATGTGGGATTGGTCCCTTCTGTGAGCTCCGGAGGGCTTTGGTAGACACCCCCTGTCACCCAGGCTGTCTGTTCCTTTGCAGCCTCAAGGGCCAAGCTGACAATGCTGAACACTGTATCCAAGATCCGGGGCCAAGTGAAGAATCCTGGCTACCCTCAGTCAGAGGGGCTGCTGGGCGAGTGCATGGTCCGCCATGGCAAGGAACTGGGTGGAGAGTCCAATTTTGGTGAGGGGCAGCTGAGTAGTTGGGTGGACAGGGCAGCCATGTCCAATATTGTGGCCTGCCTTGGCATGTGGGTCACTCAGGAGTGGGGAGCCCTGCCCATAATAGCCTTCCCTCCCTGCAGGTGATGCCCTGTTGGATGCAGGTGAGTCCATGAAGCGCCTGGCTGAGGTGAAGGACTCTCTAGACATCGAAGTTAAACAGAATTTCATCGATCCACTGCAGAATCTGTGTGACAAGGACCTGAAGGAGATCCAGGTGCCACCCTGTCCCTGAGTCCCTGGGAAGGTGAGGAGGGTGCCCCCATGTAGCTGTGCTGCTCCATCACGTGTCTGTACCCACAGCACCACCTGAAGAAGCTGGAGGGCCGCCGCCTGGACTTTGACTACAAGAAGAAGCGACAGGGCAAGATCCCCGATGAGGAGCTACGCCAGGCCCTGGAGAAGTTTGAGGAGTCCAAGGAGGTGGCGGAGACCAGCATGCACAACCTTCTGGAGACTGATGTGCGTGTCAGGACCCAGGACACCATCCCGCCAGGATGAGGGGGCTGCCCTCCTGGGCTAGGATGCTGAGCCTCCAGGGCTGGGGCGTGGCCATGTCATCTGGTCCTTTCCCTGTCCTGCAGATTGAGCAGGTAAGCCAGCTCTCGGCCCTGGTAGATGCCCAGCTGGACTACCACCGGCAAGCAGTGCAGATCCTGGAGGAGCTGGCAGACAAGCTGAAGCGTCGGTGAGTGGCTGCTGTGTGCACTCTGCTGGTGAGCATGGGCAGTGCACTTAACCTGCCAGGCCCAGGCCCAGGTTCCATCCAGCAGGGCCCTGATGCTGGGTGTCAGTGAAAGAAGGGTCCTTGGAGCTGTGTGTTAGTAGCAATGAAGTGCCAGAAGAAAGCAGAGCCCTATGGGAGATGGCAGCTGTGGCCTGGGCCAGTTGCTCAAGTCCACATCCTTCAGCTGCTTATGTCAGGTGGCAGCTCCCTGAACAGCCAGGGGCATCACTGTGTATCCTCACTGTATAGGGTAACTTTGAGGGCAGAGGTGATCGGCAGGCTCTGTAGATAATTGAGATGGAGCAGCAGCAGAAAAAACAGTGGAAGAAGAGGAGTGTGGTGTGGGAGCTCTAGGCCTTCTGTTCCTGCAGGGTGCGGGAAGCCTCCTCACGCCCTAAGCGGGAGTTCAAGCCCCGGCCACGGGAGCCCTTCGACCTTGGAGAGCTGGAGCAGCCCAATGGGGGATTCCCCTGTGCCCCAGCACCCAAGATCACAGGTAGCAAAGCCCCATGGGAGATGCCCGGGCTGGAGCTGGGTCTGTCCACCCACTGACACTTGCCCTCCTCCACAAACAGCTTCCTCATCATTCAGATCAGGGGACAAGCCTGCCAGGACGCCCAGCAGGAGTATGCGTGAGTGTTGAGGGGTGAAAATAGCTGCTGTCTTTGCGGGTGAGAGGGACTGCATTCCCCCCTCCCAGCTGCTGCAGGTTGCTCACTTGGGGTGGGGGTCACCAAAGTGTCAAAGGGGGCCAACCTTCACCTGCCTTGGACACTGGCATATCTGCTGTGCTCTGACATCCCTACCCTGATCCCAGCACCCCTGGACCAGCCAAGCTGCAAGGCACTATATGACTTTGAGCCTGAGAATGATGGCGAGCTGGGCTTCCGCGAGGGCGACCTCATCACTCTCACCAACCAGATCGATGAGAACTGGTACGAGGGGATGCTGCACGGCCAATCGGGCTTCTTCCCACTCAGCTATGTGCAGGTGCTAGTGCCCCTGCCTCAGTGACCGCGCCTGCACACTGGCTGCCTGCACGTTGCGGCAGCAGCCTAACGCCAAGGTGCTCTAGAAACACTAACGTTCCTCCAGGAGGACCCTCCGCCCCACACTCCCAGCCCTGGGTCCTCCATCCTAAGACTTGGGAAGGCCCACCCTGAGGTCCTGTCACCTTCCTGGTGGTGTCAGCTCCCACCTGTTTGAAACCCTCCCAGCCCGTTGCTGGCGATGGGCCCTGGCTCCTCCTCCAGGCTCCCCAAAAGCAAGCAGGTCCTTGGGGTCCCCAGCCTGCAAGCTGAGGCTGGCCAGTACCCCAGTCTGGCACACGGAGCTGCACATGCACAGCTCCCACGGGACCACAGAACCAGCCTCAGGCCTACTTACTGAAGGCCAAGCACAAAGGTCCCAGAAAGAGGACATTCCCAGGTCCCTGGCACCTTCCTTTGAACCAGCTCCATTGCTACCTATCCAAGTGACCCTGCACCTTTAGGCTGCCACAGGCAGCTGGCAGGTCCCTTCACTGACCAGCAGACCCACCACAGCCCCAGCTCTGCATTACCCTGCCAGGTGCCAGTCAGCGAGGCCTCCAGCCTGGGCTCAGTCACATTCCTCTCTACAGCAGTCCCACAACCTATGGCTCGTCCCTGGCATGTGGGGCCACACCCCACACCCACAGATGGGCAACAGTGTTCCACTCCAGCCTGGGCTGAAGCGAACTCTACTCCTGATTTTTTTAAAAGTATTAAATGTCTCTTTCTACAGCCATTGTTCCATCTTGATTCAGGGCCCCACACAGCCCCACCATCCTACCCCAGCCTTAGCACCCCACAGAGGCTGCCACCCCACCCCAGCCACAGGCCCTTGCTGTGGGTACTTAGACTTTTATTACCCAACTGGAGTGCCTCACAGAGGCTGCCACCCCACCCCAGCCACAGGCCTGTGCTGTGGGTACTTCATTACCCAGTCTGTTCCAGGACAGCAGGGTCTGCATGGCCTCAGCTCCCCTGCTTGAGCATGCTGCAGACCTGCTCCAGCATGTGGCACATGCCCTGGTCCTTTGGGGTCCTGCTGGCCAGGGATATCTGCAACAGCAAAACTGCGGTTAGGCTCTACCCTGAGCATGTGTCCCCTGCCCCCCAGAGCTGCAGCCCAAGTAAGAGCCTGGCAGGTAATGGCTGCAGCATTTGTTAAGCCTGGGCTACTTTCAGGACTGGTTCTGTGGGAGATTTCTTTGGTTAGGATTTGGGAGTATGGTCTTGGCTATGTAGCCCAGGCTACCTTAGAAAAAGATACACACAACACACACACACATCCCATACCTTTGGGTGCTACTTGAAAATCAGTGCCACACTAAGCCTCACGTCTGAGCAATGCACAGTGCAGAGCACCCTCCTGGGTGAACGCTACACATGAAAACCAGACTTCAGGTCACATGCAGGACCCAGTAGTTAACAAAAGGGTTCACTGCTGTGGATGGACCCTTCGTGTCTGGCAGATGCCCTCACCTGGCCACCCAGGTCCTGTGACCTCCCTTACCCGAAACTGGGGAAGTGGAGAAGTCTGTTGCTCAGACTCTGGCAAGTGATCTGTGCTTCCCACAGGACCTGAGCTGTAGGGCGGGATGGAGGAGTCCATAATCTCACCTTGAGCTTGTCCAGGTAGGTGTGCTCTGGACTCCAGGCCTCCTGGAACTTCACAAGGTCGGGGGCACCCTTGTAGAACTCTGCCAGCAGCACCTGCAAGGCAAGGGATGGCACACCTGGCTCCTGTCCATTCTGGGCTCTGCAGCTCCCTCAACTGCCAGGAGGGGCTAGGTCCAGTGCAGGCCTGCCCTGGCTCAGGTCTAGCCTCGTCCCAAAAAGTCACACCCATGAGCCCTCAGGGATGACAAAGTAGACACAGCTATCAAAAAATAGCTATACACACAGGTGTGCTGGGGGTACACCTGTCAAACCAGCAATGAAAAAGCTGAAAGAATAATTGTAAGCTTGGACTACATAGGAAGACTATATCTCAGAAATAAAAAAAAAACGCAACAACGAAACAGAAGTGGAAAACATTAACCCTGGAGCCAGAGCCACAGGCAGATGGCTTACCATCTCTTGGAGGATATCATTGGTCAGGAAGCTGTCCTGGACATACGCCATCTCTACGTCCATGGGGATGCCATAGTCACTGGGCCTTTGCTGCTAGGAGGGGTGGGGACCAATCAGAGAGGCCTTGCCTGTCCCCAGCCCACTGTGCCAGGGGTTTCTAGAGTCTGAAGTTAAGAGATGTAGGAAGCCAGAGCATTGCCCAGCAGGCCTTAATAACAATCACTGAGATACCACTGTACAGATGGAGAAACTGAGGCACAGCTGGAGTCCCCTGCCTAAGATACATGTCCCATTCTCCAGTCTGCCCAGCTGTAACCCGCCCACTCACATCCGCACCCTCAACTTGCCTTCCCCAGCTCACCCACCTCAGGGGGAGGCATCACCCAGAAAGGGCAGATCTTGGACTCGGGGCCTGGGTTGCCAGAATAGTACGGGGCTGTAGGGACAATGAGGTTGAGACTGGGGGGCTCAGTGAGTCTGACAGGGTGAGTCCCCCAACCAAGTTCCCAGCGGGGGTCTCACAGCACAGCAGGGCTAGGCAGGGCTGGAAGCCATTGCTGGAGCCTTGCAGTCTCAGCTGGTACTCCATCTGTGCATCGATGTCCTGCAGGGAGGGCACTGCTGGGCTGTGCGGGTGGCTGTGGTACCAGCCCACCAGGGATAGGCCTCGAAGGAATAGCACCTGATGGATCTGGAGACACATAAGCTAGGTTGGGGTGGGGGCAGGACCAGAGCCTTGAGCTGCCCAGTCTCACACAAAGGCAGTTAAACAGTTCTCCTCCCACCCAACAATGTCAGGGAGTATGACTGACAAATGAATATGGAGTAGGAGAGATGGATCAGTAGATAAGAGTGCTGGCTACCCTGTAGAGGACCTCAGTTCAATTCCCAGCACCCACATCAGGCTGTTCACAATCACCAGTAACTCTAGCTCCAAGAATTGGATGCTCTTTTCTGGCCTCATGGGGCATGTGTACTGATAAACACTTTTTTTTTTTTTTTTTAAAGAAATGCAGTGGTGGCATTTAGTCCCAACACTGGGGAGACAGAGGCAGAAGGATCTCTGTGAGTTCAAGGCCTGCCTGGTCTACAGAGAGTTCCAGGACAGCCTCCAAAGCTACAGAGAAATGCTGTCTCCAAAACAACAAAAAAGCTCTTGTTTTGGAATTGGTTCCCAGAACAAATGGTGGCTCATCACCATCCATAACTTCAGTTCTGGGGAATCCAATGCTCTCTAATTACCTCCAAGGGCCCCAGGCACACACATGATACACACATAGACATTCAAACAAAACACCATGCAGAAAAATCTAGGCAGAGCAACAGGCCTATCCAGTACTCAAAAGATACCATAGGAAGCTGCCTCATTCTAGGCCAGCCTGGCCTATAGCAAGACCCCTTGTCACATAAAGCACCAATCCAGCATTTCAGTCACAAACATGGGCACTCACACTCACTTCCACATCACCAGGACAACTGTGGCCCCCTCCTAACAGCCCCTCACCTCCTCCTCAACAGTGGCTGCAGTATCAGGGTCCCCCAGCCGACTCCTGCAGGGGAAGGCTCTCAGCACGGTCAGCACTGTGGAGGTAACCAACAAGAAGCTGTAAGTGCTGCCCCAGGTATGCGCTTGTCCACCCAGTTCCCAGTACGCACTCTGATTGTTGATGTCCCAGCGACCACCAAGGTAGCCCACAACCTCACTCCAAGTCAGGTGACAGTGGAAGTCCTTGGGATGAAAAGGGAGGACTGGCTCAGGCTGCATTTCTTGTGTCAATGTAGCACCCAGCCCACCCTCCTCCTATGATCACTTATCAAGCACCTACCATTAACCTAGGGATGTCACTCATTGGTGAGCATGCCTGCACCTAGTGTGTGTAAAGGCACTGGGGTCCATTCCCAGCACCAAAGGAAAGCATGAGCACCTATTACTCTCTAATAGCAAGCATTTACTGAGTGCCAATTGTATAACATATCCCTCACTCTTCAGTGCTCCCCCGCCCAGGCCAGCGAGTTCCTTCTCCCTGGACATTGAGGGTGACCAGGCAAAGTGACTTTAGTCACTTACCAAGAGGAACAGCACGTTACTGGATACAGCTACGTTGAATGGCTGGAACTTATTGATGGCAGCAAAGGAGGTTACTTCTACCAGGGTGTGGGGGTTCCTGGAGTGGCCGGGAGGGTGCCAGGGCTTCAGGAACTTAGGCTTTACCCCGCCCCACCCCCTCCTGAGGCCTCCCAGCAAGTGTGGCCCTGCCAGATACCTGCCTCTGTGACCAAACCAACTGAGGGCACCAGGGAAGCCAGGATGGGGGCAGATGAGGTAACTGACCTGGCAGAGTCACGACTGCCCAGCATGCAGTAACGTACTGGCACCTGGACCTTGTCCACACGCTTGCCCAGGGCTGTGACCTCTAGGGAGAGGGATGAGAGAGAAGTCAATGTGACCCCCCCCTTCCATTCCCTTTGCATAGAAGGATTCCCAAGAAGTAAGAGGAAGTGGGGTCAGCAAGATGGCTCATCGGGTCTTGCAACCAAGCCTGATGACATAAGTTTGATTACCAGAACTCACATGGTGTTAGAAGGGACCCAACTCCTGAAAAGTGTCCTCTGACACACGCCCTTGACCCCAGCTCTCAGGAGGCAGAGGCAGAGGCAGAGGCAGACAGATCTCTGTGAGTTCCAGACCAGCCAGGCAGAGAGGGAAATCAGGCCAGACTATCAATCAAGCTTCAGAAACATCCAAGCCAGCCTCCCCCATCGAAGTTCCTTCCTCTCTGGCCTCTCACCTGGCTCAGAGGAGCCCTTCCCAGGGGGTCTACGACCTTTCTCCTCTGCTGAGACCCTGGCAAGTACATCTTCCTCCTCCTCCTCCAACAGCAGCTCCTCCTCCTCCCCTTCGCTGGTGGGACTCTGGTGGAATGGGGTATAGCAGTAGCTACATCAGCTGAGTGCCTCACTCACACCCCCAACAAGTACTGTATGGAGGGAGCCCAGGCCTGAGCCAGAGATGCCACTGCCTTTGAGTGACCACAGAGGGTGCAGGTGAGCAGAGGTGCCCAAGGTACAGGCTTCCCCCAAGCTTGGGATTCAGCCTCTGGCTCCTCCTGGCTGTCTGACTCCAGGTGAGACTCCAGCTATAGCTGAGCTGTCTCTCACCTGACGGTCCCTACAGCAAGTCCCTCTGCACATAGCACTCCATGGCTCCCACCCCCTTCAGGGTCAAAACTGAAGTCCTCCCTGCAGCCCAGGAGGCCCTTCCGGCCCTGTCTCTTCCCTCCCTGCCTCCCTCCTCCTCTGTGTTCTCTGCTTCAGCCACTCGGGCCACCCTGCTGTAGGACACATGAGGCTGTGTCCTACCTCAGGGTCTTTGCACACCTCATCCCACAGCACACGGGGGTAAGGCTTGTAGTCACCTCATCAGCAGCAGCTACTGGCATATGCAGCTGGTGCCGGCGGAGCCAGGCAGCCTTGTACTTGTCAAGTTTCTGGCCCTTGTACTTGACGGATGCCCAGCCACAGCCGGACTTCTTGGCCGGGTTGACGAGCTTCTTGCAATGTGTCGCCCAGGCGCTGGGCGAGTTGAAGATTTGCCCAGTTTCCTGCCATAGGATCCTGCCATCCGGCTGCAGGTCCCCAATGAATTTCCTGCCCTGCAGGCACAG